TACAAGTGACATTTCTATGGTTAAATTGATGACTCTTAGAAATATGCTTATAATTATACATGAATGAATAAAATATATTTTATACAACAGTCATAATTCATTGCATTACATGCCTTGTCTTTTACATATTTTCTATACAATTATAACATATTGTGACATATGTTGTAGACATGTACACGACTACATATGAGCATGCATATTATTTTTTTTTGTATAAAAAATCTTATTTGTCTTGATTATTTTGCTGATTGACTTTTATGAATGGGTTTCATGACCCTACCCGGGGCTTGGAATTAACCAATGCGGGTACAGACAGTCAGATGACGAGAGCTAAATTTTCTATATTCGGAATTAACCAATGCGGGTACAGACAGTCAGATGACAAGAACTAAATTTTCTATAAATATCATTTTACAAATGAAAGAGCCACTAAAGAAAATTAATTTACGACACTATATTTTAAATTTTATCTCATAACTTGTTGTCTAATCTTCTATAAGTAATATCCCATCTATTGTTCATCTTTTAATTTTTTAATTAACTAAAAAGTTAGTTTAAAATAACAATGAGCTAAACAGTCAGTAAATACTCATACTTCTAAACTGCAATAATACAATGGAAAAAGAAAGCAATATGCATGTAGTTAAATTTTTTAATAAATCAATATAAACATTTAAGATGTTATTCAGTAAATCTTACCACATCAATATCATATTAATATCATTCTAGATCTTACAGCCGTCACATGAACACCATCTAAAAATTATACAACTTAAGGTACTTTAATATCAATATTCTTTTCTATTTACTTGCACGTGTACCTTAGCGTTCCTCCACTAGTACCATAAAGGGGTGACTCCATCATAGTCAGTCACGCACGTACAAGAATTTTATGAAAATTATTATTTACTAAAAATAATATTTCATTTTTATATGTCTATCAAACAATATACTTATAAGTTATTCGAATGATAATTTGAATTATATTGTCACACATCATTTCTATAATATAAATAAAATTCACTAGAATTCAAAATCCTGATTTTGCATTATTTTCAATATAACTATAATATTACTAGTAAATGCATTTGATGTAGATGAAACAAAATTTTACCATAGTATATGAACATGAGTACTCACCTCTAATAGACGATTTACTTGTTCTTTTATCACTTATATCAAATTATCACCTATAAAATATAAAATATTCGATTATCACTTAATTTTATTTTTATGTATTCCACTAGTTTAATTAAAATTCCACTATTTTAATTAAAATTTCAATACTTTAGACTTTAAGTTTAATTATTATAATCAAAATTAATATTAAATATTATTAATTTATACATTTAAATTACATCCCTTAACCTTTCTTTAGTCCAATACTGAAATTCACTTAAGTTGAACTTTTAAATAATAAACTTATATATACCTATTTAGGTATA